CCCCCGGGAGACCCTACACCATTTCTGACAGATGGGAGTCCAATCTCTTTTTGAAAGTCTCAACTGATGGTGCTCCCACAACTTCCAAGGGCAAGCGGTTCCATTGGTTGATTGTTCTCACTGTCAGAAAGTTTCTCCTTATTTCCAGGTTAAATCTCTCCTTGTTCAGTTTCCATCCATTATTCCTTGTCTGGCCTACAGGCGCTTCAGAAAATAGCTTGACCCCTTCCTCCCTGTGGCAGCCCCTCAAATATTGGAAGACCGCTATCATGTCTACCCTGGTCCTTCTCTTTACTAGACTAACCAAGCCCAGTTCCTGCAACCGTTCATTGTATGTTTTAGCCTCCAGTCCCCTAATCATCCTGGTTGCTCTTCTCTGTACTTTTTCTAGAGTCTCAACGTTTTTTTAATAATGTGGTGACTAAAACTGGATGCAGTACTCTAAGTGTGGTCTTACTAAGGCTTTATAGAGTGGTATTAGTACTTCCCTTGATCTTGACTGTATCCCTCTGTTAATACAATTTAGGATTGCATTAGCTTTTTTTGGCGGCGGCTGCACACTGCTGGCTCATATTTAGCTGGTTGTCCACTAAGACTCCAAGATCCCTCTCACAGTTACTGCTATTGATCCTGGTTTCATCCAGTCTATATGTGTACTTTTGGGTTTTCTTGCCTAAGTGTAGGACTTTACTTTTTTCTATATTGAATTTCATTTTATTAGATATGGCCCAGTGTTCTAGTCTGTCAAGATCCATCTGGATCTTGAGCCTATCTTCTTGGGTGTTAGCTATTCCTGCCAGCTTAGTATCATCTGCAAATTTGGTAAGTTCCCCTTCTATTCCCTCATCTATGTTGTTAATGAAGTTATTGAAGAGTACTGGGCCTAAGACGGAACCTTGTGGCACCCCATTGCTTACTTCCCTCCATGTAGACTTAGACCCATTAAGGACTACTCGTTGAGTACGGTTTGCCAGCCAGTTGTGAGTCCATCTAGTGGTGGTGCTATCTATTCCACTTTTTTCTAGCTTACTAAGAAGTAGGTTGTGGTCTACTTTATCGAATGCCTTGCTGAAATCTAAATATATCATGTTCACAGTATTTTGCTGGTCTACTAATTTAGTCACTGTGTTGAAGAATGAAATAAGATTGGTTTGGCATGATCTGTTTTTAACAAACCCGTCTTCTTATAGCTGGGTAAACAGGGATAATGAGATTGAATTAATTTGGAATCCCAGCCGCAATGTTTTTGCACGAGGTTATTGCCAGCCAATCCTAGGTTTGCCTGTTGTTGGGGAAAAATAGTACATTGAGGTGGGTCTAAACAATTCTTAATGGCTTTGGAGGATGTTGACAGGATGAATTGGAGTCCATTGTTGGACATAACTCTTCCTGATTTGCACCTTATACTGAGAGATACCTATTTTCTTTAAATAATTACATAAGATTAAAAATATGGCATACCCACTGATACAGAAATGATGAGTCTTTCAACATGTGCAGGCTTGTCTGATGATGGGATTTATATATTGCTTGCCATCTTGTATATAAAAACTAAGATAATCGTTGAAGTCTTAAAACATTTCAGTACTACTCTTATGTAATTTAACTAAAATAAAAGAATTGCAAGATGGAGGCAGGAAGTTTCACACTCAGCCAAGAAAATAAAATAACCAGGTCCCTTTAGAGCTAACAAATGCAGTGTTTATCCTTGAAGCGGGCAAACAGGAAACTAAGGTGCTAGCTAGACCATCTTTGGGTGATTGGAAATAAATGAGCAAGCGTTTCTGACTCCCAAGCATTTCACAACAGCCCACTAAATTAGGATGCTGAAATTAAGAAAGTGGGGAAGAGTAGAAAGGTAGTTAGGAACGGATGTTTGTATAGAAAATCTTTGAGTTGGCACATCCTGTTTTCCATATTCAAAATTTTACTTGCTGACCCCTTTTGGGTTGTAGAGATGAAACAAGTAGATTTCACCAGCCTAAGGCAGAAGGCATGGACTTTCGGCTGGGGCACCAGGGAGAACAGGCTGCCCAAAGAGAAAATTTGCCTGCCAGAACATGGCAGCTAAGAGGCGGTTGATGATGCTTTTGCATGCAGATGTGACCCGATCTTAAATTAAGCCCACCCTGGATGCCTTTCAAAATAGATGCTGAAATGAGATGAGCATTTAGAGCAGCAGAAGTTCTATGAGGAATCAGGCAAAGGACTCAGCAATGCTGTCTGGGAGTGCTAGGTGTCTTAGTCCAACACATCTATTGAGCACAGGGTTGGGTTCTAAAGAATAAATTGTGAAGCATTACAGTATTGTAATCTACCTAGAACAGGGGTGTCAAACACAAGGCCCATGGACTGGATCTGGCCCACAATGTAGTCTGTCCTGGAAAATGTAAGGGGCTAGTCCGCATCGCTTCATCCCGGTCTACCCAAAGCGAAGAGTAAACATGCCAGCAGTTCGGGAAGTGGCATCAAGCTGGCCACACCCACCCAGTTGGCCACGCCCAGTGAGTGGCGTCAAGTTGGCCATGCCCACCCAGTCAGCCACGCCTGGTCCCCCAAGGCCAATCACACAGCCCTGATGTGGCCTTCAATGAAATTGAGTTTGATAGAAAGTTGAGTAGCCAATGCTATGCCATTTGGCATGCAGGCGTTGGCCAGGAATGAAATCTCAGACGCTGACTCTGTTTAGTATCGCTAAGCAGACCTACCAAAACAAACAGGTCTATAGTGTGGTTTTGGGAGTGATTTTTTTTTTTTTACTCTTCACCAAAACCCAAACCTCTCATTCATTGCCTATGATGCATACAAAGGTGTGTGAATCACTACAGCCCTATTTCAGGTTTCTCCTGCAAGCACGCAGGTAAATTACATTCACTTTATTATTTCCACTGGCAAAATGGAAAAGAAACGTCTGGTGGTGATTAGCTCCCCTTTACCCTCACTGCCAGTCAGAACTTGAAGCTGCTTAGTTTTGTAGCTACCTGATTCAAGTTGCAGGCCTCTGTTTATTAAAGACACTCAGGAAATGGGTGTGTGGGTGTATTGTGTGTATTTCCTCAAATGTACTTTTTGAAACTCATGCTGCCTGGAGATGGCAGCAAAGTGTGATTTTTGAATTGTCATTCTCCTATTTCAGACCCTGTTTAAAATGAGAATTGATTACCTGGAATTCAGTATTTTTGTGGAATGGCCGTTAGTATTCACAAATCATGTCTAGAAAGGGTAGTTTGACAACTGGGGCAGGGTGAGTATTGTGTTGATTCATGGGGTACAGCACCTCACTCGATACCTACACGCATAGGTTCTTCTGTATATGAAAAGCTCTTTTCTTTCAGATCATAGAATCAGGGCTGGAAGGGACCTTGAAGGTCTACCAGTCCAAGCCCCTGCCCAAGGCAGGAATTCCTGTACCCTCCCATACAAATGGGTGTCTAATCTTTTCTTGAAAACTTCCAGGTTTCCACCCTTCCTCGTCTCCACAAAAAATTAATAACTTTCTCTTTCTGTGCTCGTTATGGTGGCAAGCATCCCCTGCCTACCAAATTCTTCATAGCAATAGCACTTAGACTTATGTACCGCTTTATAGTGCTTTACAGCCCTCTCAAAGCGGTTTCAACGTTGGCCTGGCATCCGTTTTGTTTATCTAATAGCCTAACATCCTGGGAATACAAGATGCGGTTATGTGAACCCCTTTTGATGAACGCAAGATTACCCACCAAAGCAAGAACAAGTAAATAAATGCATGATTTCAGAAGTGATCTTTTTTCCACCCCTCACCAAAACTCAGAAGGATCCATTGGAACTTTCCACAAGGGCAAGCCCTTCAGTGATGACCATGTTTGATCACCAGGGGGCCCCCTTGTTTCAGATCCAGAGCTGGTTTGATCTGCAATAACAAACTTCTAAATAAATCAACATTGAGCGGATTGTGTGAATGTCTGACTGCAGCCGCAAAGCTTCATATCAACTGGCACAATGAAAACTCAGAAGATGGAGCAGACAGTTTATTATAAGTAACTTGCAAGGGAAGAATTAAAGTTGGGATGGTATCCAGGAAACCTCAGAGACTTCATGCTATTATGTCTCTGTAAAGTGTTCAGGCTGTCTTATCTCCTCCCCCAACAAGTTTGGGGATATTGCTCCTTGTAAAGATAAAAGTGCTATAACCTGTTTTTATATTTTTATTTGAGATTCTTGCATCTGCCAGCTTTCATCTGAAGGAGAATAGTTAGAATGATGTTAGATTTCTGTCATCTGGAAACTAAAAACATCTGCCACCTTTAACTGTTTGCAGATGCAATATGTTGGTGGAGGTACTTACCACTAAATGGATGGCATTTACTAACTAGTGGTGGCACCAATACATTGGACAACTCTTTTAGGATAACCTGTTGATAAATGCAAATGCATTCTGAAGATTGTTGGGAGTATTCCTGAGTCTGTTTTTCTCCAACTGCTCTTAAATGTGATTTAAGAATTAATGCTACACACTTCCTCTGTATATAAAACGTGATATGTTTATCACAGTTCCTCTGTGATATATAACAAAGGAAATGGGTGCCTCAATTCTGCCCTGTTCTCAAAGATTCTTCACACACAGCTAGAGATCAACCCAACCTTTTTTCTTCCAGATTGCCAAACATTTTGCAGAACCTCAAACCCTTTGTCATCCCAAACATATATTAAATATACATTAATTCCAATTAGACAGATGTGATGCAGAGTATGATTTTATTAAGAATGGAAAAATGTGGAGAGGCCATAACCAAAAAATAATAATTTGAAGGCAACTATATCTACTCATTAATGTTTGTTACCACTATAATTCAGACAATTCCTGGAAAATAGCTTGCTTTATTTATTGCAAAATATGTGAGTCAGACCACCTAAGCTAAAGATGGGGAAGCCATGTTCTAGAGATTGCTGCAGATTACTGACCCAGCAGTATCTGAAAGGACACACTGCCCTATTGCCTCTTCTAAGTTATTCCAGCAATCGGATGGCTCCCCCTTTTCTGAGTCTTCTTATTGATCATTCAAAAGCATCTTCCATTTTAGTTGAACCTTCTCAGACCAGTTTGCTGTAGCACTCTTCTCTGACACAGTCCTCACATGGAAAAGTTTCTGGAATTATGTGAAGTTCAGATGTTATTATTAATTTTTCGCTGGAATCCTCAAAGCCGGAATATGTAGCCTGTAATGGAATCATATTCGTTAAAGCCTTGCTTCAAAGGTGCAAAAGAATGTTGTGCCAAACAATTCCTTATCCTCCAATTTACATTGCTCATGAAGATAGCAAGGAGGCATTAAAGGGCATAGCTGGGCAGCTATATTAACAAGCGGTCTCCATTTTTGAGTTAGTAGGGAAGGATGCCCTAGGCTCTTCTGGTTGGAAAGTAGTACTGGCCTTACAGATTTATCGCAGCACAAATTAAGCAAATTGATTTTTGCACTGAGTATTACGTTCCAGGTAACTTTATTTATTTGAATCCTGCCTTTATTATTTATACAAATAACTCAAGGTGGTGAACATATCCTACGCACTTTCCTCTTATTTATGCCACAAGAACAACTCTGCGAGATGGTTTGCACGGAGAATGACTGGCCCAATGTCACTCAGTTGGCTTTCATGGCTAAGGTGGGGCTAGAACTCATGGACTCCTGCTTTGTAGCCTGGTGTCCTAATCACTAGATCAAACCGGCTCTCACTTTAGTGTAAAAATGACTAATTCTAAAGAATTATTCCCCTAGGGCAGGAATTTATTTTTGATAGATGATGGGCAGGTATCTACATTGTTACTGAGGATGCTGATGTAGGAGCTGAACAAGGATCACCTGGTAAAGCAGGAGAACTTTCTCCCAATTCCATAGATCAGCCAAAGGTCTTCCTACACCTAGGAAGTAAAGGGACAAGACTCTCAGATTCTCCTGCCATCTTCTAGCCCTAGCAGTCAAGTTACAAGGTGTGGCAGGAGGAGTCAAATTGCTAATGCCTGTAAGGTGTATTTCTCTCTACTGTGAAATGTAAGTTTAGTGTTCTTCTAAACCAGTGCTAAACCCATGTTCTGGCTGCTTCTAAACATGGATTTAGCATCCTTTCAGAAGAGGGGTTTAAAGAAGCCCCAGTTACTCGTTGGCCTTACGGCTAAGATCAAGTGTGCACGGTAAAGTAGCCCAACGAGCAGCTGGCTGCAAGTGTGGTTGCTCCCACTCCACAGCCATTGCCCGACAGTTGTATTTCAAGTTAGTTTTAAACACAGGTTTTAACACTCTTCTAAAAGAGCCCGAAGTAGCTCAAACAGTACCTTTAAGAATGGGGGGAATTGCTTGGTTAAATGGGAATTTGGCAGAGCTGATTGACAAATACCTGTGGTTCAAGAGAGGCAGCTCATTACCAATGAAGACTCTAATTTCAGAAGTATCAGCAAAAAGAGGAGGAATCATTCCAGCCAGATTTCCAAAACATGATCAGACCTGGCAGCTAAAGAGTAAACTTTCTCTGACAAGTACATAGTAGCAATAGCATTTAGACTTATATACCGCTTCTTGGAGCTTTACAACCCTCTCTAAGAGGTTTACAGAGTCAGCATACTGCCTCCCATGATCCGGGTCCCCATGCTTCTAAAACTCTCATATCTGTAACGTTTAACCGGATGAAATGGTACATCACAGATCAGCACTTTTTCTACCAAGATACTTCAAGTGGGCTAACTTAGAGAATGTGTCCAAATCCTGGGACCCACGACTCCCATGGAACTGAAATTTGGCAAATTTTATGAAACATAACATAAAATTATCATAAGGCATTTTATGACATAAAAGAAGATGCCATAAAACATTTCCTGTAAGTCAGCTGCTGATGTTTGACCATGCCATACAGTTCAGCATGGACTACTTTCAAGGTAGATACATATCTGAATAGTTCTCTGAATTTTTAAGAATCCCAACCGTGGTTGAAGGCCTTCATTAAGGAACCTGGTAAGGAAATGTCTCTGAAACGATGACCCACCAGATTTGCATTTGTAGTAAAATGAATGCTAGACAAACATGGAGGGGGACAGCACCTTCAAATAGAAGGGATGAAAGCTACTATTCAGTGGTGGGATTCCAAGATTTTTTCCTACAGCGTCTATGAAAGCGCATTTTTTAGCTGAGCTAAAAAAACCCGAGAATATAGCACAGGAAAGGGCAGGGGGAGGTGGGTGGGCGGGGCCAGCCAGAGGTGGTATTTGCCAGTTCTCTGAACTACTCAAAATTTCTGCTACCGGTACTCTAAAACCGGTCCAAACTTGCTGAATACCACCTCTGCTACTGTTGTTCTCTCTGTAGCTTCACTGTGCATCTCTGCCTTACTGCATCACCCCAATGCAACATCTGCATTGGGTTGATCCTTGAGGAGGGCCAATTTGAAAGAACCAAGTCGCCAAGATCAGCTAAGTATGTCCAAGCCCTTGACCCTGTCATCAACCACACACAATCACTGAAACGTGCTAGATCACATCAGTGGGAACAAATTGTGTGGGGAGCAGTGGGAAAGAGCTAATTTAAAATGGAAGCATCTAAAGGCAATGGAACCTACAGATGCTTTCATAAGAAAAAAAATATCAAGTGGGGCCAGAAGGCAGACCTCATATCACTGCATAGGGTTAGCCTATCATCACTTGTTCTTCCCCCCCCTGAAAATGTGGCTCTCGCCTTCTCACATTGGTTCTATCTTTCATTTCCCCTTGTTTATTCCTCCTTTGAAACAACAAAGGTGGAGGCAGAGGCAGAATAGATACTTGCATCAGAATGCTGAAGCAATTTACACAGTAGACTTTCTGCCCCGTAGGTACAGACAACTCCACAAGGGATGGATGGATTGTCCACTTCATCATATGCTCCCTCTGCCTCTGCAGACCTCAAGCCCTTGTGTCTCCTCCCCTTTCAAACATTAGAATACCCGGGATCCTAATTAAAGCACACTTCTTTTGCAAGTGTGAAACAATTCTTGCATGCAGGGGCAGGGATGCGACCTACTTTAAAGACATGTGGTCCAGTGGTGGCATTCAAAAATTTTTACTACTGGTTCTGTGGGTGTGACTCAGTGGGCATGGTAGGGGAAGGATACTGTAAAATCTCCAGTCAGAGGTGGTATTTGCTGGTTCTCTGAACTACTCAAAACTTCTGCTACCAGTTCACTAGAACTGGTCAGAACCTGCTGAATGCCACTTCTGATGTGGTCCGCCCCCACTCACCCAACCTCAAGCCCGGCTTTATAAAAGCTGATTGTTCAGGAAAGAAGTCTTGAATATCCAGAAGTGGAGGAAGCCCATTCTTTAACCTTGACTGCCTGCCCCCTTCCCCAAATGCAAATGTTATCTGCAAAACTCAACATTTACCTCAATGAAGAATCCTGTCCATCCTTTGTCTGGATATTTGATTTCTTTCTTATAAACATGTGTGCTCTTTCCAAGAAAGAAAAAAGACCAGACATAGCTGGTTACTGTTTAGAAAGTTGAAATCATTCATGAAGAAACAAGTTATCAAACCTCTGATGTATCTGAATCAATATTATTTACAGAGATGAATAATGGCTTTTTTGAGTTTTTGTTAGTTTTGATCAGATTGATCCTGAATGTACAGTCTGGAGGGCTGAAACATATATTGAGAAAGGAAAGGAAAGCAGATAAAAACCAAATGTTTTACTGCATTTGAAAATGGCCAGATAGGACAACCAAGCAGCTGGCCCAAAGTGAGATCTGGATAGCCACTCTATCTGATGAGTTACAATATGCTAACCTTCTTCAGAGATGACTGATGAAGGATCTGTTCAGCTAGACACTCAATGGTGAGATATGTTGGGAACTGTAGTGTAATAGCAATATTTAAACATTCATAAATTTTCCATCCATGTCTTATACACCTGGGTGCTTGCTATTAATTGGACGGCTTTATTTCTCTCCACCAAAACTGAATGAACAAACGAACGAACAAAAAATGAATAAATGAATGAATGAATGTCTACTCACCACTTTCTTCACCTTAGCACGATTCCACTTAATAGAATTCCTTTTAGCTTTTTGTCCAGATAACACGTGCATCCTGAAATCTCTCCTAGTGATTTTAAAAGTAGAGGAGAAAATTGTACACTCCAGTTTTTTTTTCTTCTTCCTTTTTGAATTGGTTTATTTCTCATTTTAATTCTATATTTTCTTTTGGTTTATATCATTTTTTTAAAATGTCATTTGGTTTTACACAATTAACTCAGAGAATGGTAAAAACAAATGTATAGAGCCCCAATACCTTGTGTCATCATTAGTGTTAGCATAGTAAGCATAGATCAATGAAGGCTCCTGGTCTGTGGAAAAGTAAATAGTTCCTCCAGTATTTTTCTAGAAAAAGAGGAAGGATCAATGAGAAAGAAATGAAGACAGGTGTTCGTCTGAGTATTGTTTTCCTTTTCCTTAAGTGGAAACAAAAAACATTGTTGGTATGTAAATCAAATATTGGATGACCATGTCATTAATGCCGTCTTCTCCAATTTGGTGTTGTCCTGATGTATTTCGAAATCAACCCTCATGATCCTCTATTATGACCTGATGAAGTCAGGATATAATAGGCCATCAGTTAAATAGCTTTATATACACCTGGTCTATGGAACAAGCAAATTTTGGTAACTTGAGGCTGGATTTGATATTTGAAAGGGGTAAGAAAGATGGCTGCAACAGAAAGCATGCACTAAGAGGTAGGCAGATTCAAGTCACATCAGCGCATGGGTAAGTCTGGGATTCTTCTTTTTAAGGGGTAGGATTTTTCTGCTATATCTGTTTAAGGTTTACATTTCTATTTATTTGATATCTTCTTTTCTGAGAGACTTCTACAGTTACTGGACCACAGAGAGCTCTGTGCAAAAGCAGTAGTGGAAACAACACTGGGACATCCAGGGAGAAACAGGCAAGTGAATAGCAATAGAACATAGACTTATATACCACTTTACAGTGCTTTACAGCCCTCTCTAAGTGGTTTATAAAGTCAGCATATTGTCCTCAACAATTTGGGTCCTCATTGTACCCACCTCGGAAGATTGGAAAGCTGAGTCAATCTTGAGCCTGGTGAGATTTGAACTGCCAAATCGCAGGCAACCGGCAGTCAGCAGAAGTAGCCTGCAGCACTGCACTCTAACCACTGTGCCACCACGGCTGATCCTTTTTGCCTTAGCTATCTCAGCTGCAGTGACATAATTGATAGGCTGGTATCTGGGTGGACAGGACTACAAGTGAATGTATGGACTCTGATCTCTACCCCAATGCATGTGAACCTCAGGGCTGTAATCTTCCCTCTCCAGCCCTCCTCCTCCCATCAACCCCAGTTCTCCCATCCACCTTCATCACCCCCATTCTCAAAGAATGGGAAGTACATTTTCCCACTCAGAATTGGATTGGGAGTACAGTCTATATTGGTTTGCTGTGACTAATAAAAATAAAGAAATAGCTAATTTAAACACTGTACTTAAAAGTAATGAGTAACGTAACGAAGATTTCCCAAGAAGTGTCCACCAGACTAAATAGTTTGTTGAAAATGCCCTTTTGTGGAACCTAAGCTCATATTTTAGCATAGGAGATTAACTGTTTTGGCTGTTGTGAATAATATGTCTCTCACCACAGTCCTGTTCCAATGGACCTGGGGATGCTGTTGATTCTGCATGGTGATAAAGTAAAAAGTGGCGATTGGAATTCCAATACTGTCTTCATAGAAAGCTAAGTCATGGTTCATGTTTGGGATGATCCTGTAAACGATCAGGGTGAGAAAGGTGTGAAATGCAGGCGTTGCTTGAATAGCAAGAGTTCGCTTTGAAACAACTTTGCACAGTTGCCTATTTAATTTTGCGCTGGCACACAAAAACAAATCCTGCTAAGGTGTTAAAATAAGCTGCAATACTAGGTTATTTTTCTGCTCCCAAACAAAATGCCATTTCTCCTCTATCTTGACTAAGGAGGCTATTTAGTGATCCTTGGATATTATATAGGATTAATATTACTCATCAATCGGCAAAGTCCAATAAATCCACAAACAGTATTAGAGAATTGGAATTCAAGCTATATTTGAGGCAATTTCCAAATAAGGCAAGCTTGTCATTATTACATGGCATTTAGGAACAGTAAAGTCTGATTGTTCTCCTCCACTGTCTCTCATTAAATAAAAATAAAACCATTTATTGAGTTACATGAAATTTGCCCAGTGGAATATTTTTTTCTCATTTGAAAGTGACTGTCTAACTCTAACCTATGCTACCAGTATAGCTGTTGCAAGAGTTAAGTTGTTATTGTATTAAAAGCTCTCAGATGCACTCTTTTTATACAATTTATTTGCAACTCATTAATTCAAACTTTCGCTGAGCACTGGTTATTTCTCCACTTCACTCTTCCAAAAAATGCAACCCAAGAGCCTCTACACCAGGGTACATTCTACTATGGCTCAACTCACCGGAGATATTTCTCTCCTGTTAGCTGATTAAAATAATAATAAGAATTGTCAGGCTGGCCCATTTCATCTCCTGATGCCACAAGTAGGTACTTTGTTTTGTTTATATAAAGCTCATTATATTCTGGGAACAGAAAAAGGGGAAAAAAAGAAGGTGTGTGGATCTCAACCTTGCCTCAAGTTGAGCAGAAAGCAAAATGTCCAGAGGAAAGATAACTCCTTTTGATATGTAACTTGTCCCCTCACTCACACCTTAAGTACGTGTCAGCCCTTCAAGGCAGGTTGGACATCAAAGGTAGAGGGTCAAAGTAACAGAATCTAGAAACTCTGGTTGTATCTTCCCCTCCCTGCTTTTATCCTGAAGAGAATTAGGGAAAGTCTGGTTTGAAACATTTTCTCAAATTCTATTCCTCCTTTGAGCTGATATGGCTTATCTGACCATTGCTTTGGCCGCAGCTCTTCCTCCTGTCCCTCAAGGTTGTTCTCACAATCCATCATTGTATGTCTCAAGTTTCTTTCACATACTCTGCATCTCCCTTAATCCACCTGTATCCTGCTAAATACCACAGTCCTATACGTTTAGTCCTTCATTAATTCAGCCTTCTCATTTCAACTTCAGTGGTGCTTACTTACTCAAAGGGTCGATATTTGAAGCAATAAGTTCAAAACGGGGATGATCGATCTGTTGAGTAATGTTGATGTAGTAGAAAGGTGCCAGTGCGAAACTCCAGCCACAATATGATCTGAACTGGTGATGTAAATTCTGCAGAAGGTTATAGCTGTGACCTTTTGGTGCAATGAATAGAAGCTTGACAAAAAGCTAGATTGTTGGCATTAGATTTTTAAGTAGCTGACTCACATGGGCAGACCAACCCTGCAAACATTGGACATTTTTTGGCTGCTGAGGTCTTGTCAGTAATCCTGGGTTCAAACCATATTGTAGCATAAATGTCAGCTTTTCCCAACCTTGTGCCCTCCATTTGTGAGAATTGCAACTCTCTGAAATTCTCAGGGAACATGGCATGTGCTATGAACTAGGCAGGGTACACAAATGCAGGTCTTGTAACATAGAAAGAGATAGCTTCTTCAGGGGACAGTTTGTTAGGACGCATCCATTTTTTTTAGTGACACATCAGATAACATCTTTGCTTTGGAACAAATGCCCATTTTCATTTTTTTTTTAATTCTGAAAGAAGTAACAGAGATGATAATTTCACTGAACTTTTCTAGGGATAAAGGCAATACTTCCAATTATTTTTAAGACAGTCTAACTGTACTCTTCCTTAAAAAAAAAACCCAAATGGAAAAGTTTTAAATGTTTATTTTCTTTCTGGAAGACATTTGGTATTTTCTATAAGCAAAGATGTTATCTGACATTGGTTGGCTCCTGAGGTCCTGTCACTAATCCTGGGTTCAAACCATATTGTAGCATAAATGTCAGCTTTTCCCAACCTTGTGTCCTTCATTTGTGAGTATTACACCAGCTTCCACCATAATCTGATTTTCATTTCCAATAGCTGAAGTCACCCAATTAATGTCTGAGACCATCAGGCTTTGATTACATATTCTAAGCTTTATAACAATGGAGCTCCTTCATAAAGGTAAGAAGCTCCTTTAGAAAAATCTGGAAGAACAGAGGGTTTCTTTTGTTGCAAGCCAATCCAGTACACACAAAGTACAGGTGTATTCTGTACTGCACCTGGAAACTCTCACCTCAACAATATTCAGGACGTCCATAACGACTGAGACAAATGACACCACACGCTTGTCAATGGCTGCAGTCAGCCAAGCAATCCATCCACGCTAAGATGGGGAGATAGAAAGATGGAGAAGAGCTGCTGGAAATAAAGCCAGGAATTTTTCTGGGATGGACAGCCTTTTAAATACTTTAATGGAGAAAGACAATCGTGAGAGTACTTTTTTGTTGTTTACAGCCACATGGCCTACAATAAACTACACCATCACTCTAGCACATGAAAGATTAATTGTAGATCTATACACATTTTTCTCGTAACATATATGTAGATTTTTTTTTTTAGTTTTATACTATTATACAGCTGTCTTGGTTGTAAACTTTAAAATTTGTGCTGGCAGGCACCAGAGAATGAAGAAAGACTTGGAAACTTAACTCAGGACTCCATTTTGTCTCTTTTGCCCCCCTCTCCCTTCAGACAATAGCAGTAGCAAAAGCAATAGCACTTAGATTTATATACTGTCCCATAGTGCCTTATAGCACTCTCTGGATAGTTTACAAACGTCAGTATATTACCCCCATCAATCTAGGTCCTCATTTTACTGACCCTGGAAGGATGGAAGGCTGAGTCAACAACCTTGAGTACTCCAGGATCAAACACCTGGCTGTGGGCAGAGTCAACCTGCAATGCTGCATTGTAACCACTGCGCCAGCAGTATTGTCACCATTATGTAGACCAGTGGTGGGATTCAATTTTTTTTTACTACAGGTTTTGTGGGTGCGGCTTGGTGGACGTGGTAGGGGAAGGATACTGCAAAATCTCCAGTCAGAGGTGGTATTTGCCGGTTCTCCAAACTACTCAAATTTTCCGCTACCGTTTCTCTAGAACTGGTCAGAACCTGCTGAATACCACCTCTGATGTAGACTCTTGGATGCCAGACAAATCAAATTTGCATGGATTATCACACTTGGGCTGCAAAAGTCCAGGCAACCAATAGATGTAAGTAGCAGGTACAGAAAACTCTGTTGTCATTTGGAGTTTAACAGAATTTTTGCAGCCAAATTATGCTAGCTGTACCAAAGAGGAAATAGAAGCAGACAAGACAAAGGGGGGGGGGGGGAGTAAAGGGGAGGGAGACCCCCAGAGGGTGAAAAGAGAGCATACTTTAAAAAATAATTCCAACTGTCCACCCATCTTACTTAGGCCTTGGCTCTCTCAGATACCTTGGATGAGCCTAGTATCATAAATTTGGTGATTTGTATATCTTCACCAGTCTGCTTCAGCAAGAAATCTGCAACTGTGTCCAGGGCTCGTACAGTGGCCTGCATAGGAAGAGAGTAGGATTATAGCTTCTGCAAAGAGGTTGGCTTTAATGCAGATTTGACATGGTACATTCAAAGCATCAACAAAATTATGTTTTAAACATATATGTTTAATAGGCTCCTGTGAAAAACCAACCACTCTCTGCTGAAAAGGAGAAACAGAACAAGCGGTGCTCAGCATGCGAGAGAGCAGAACAATTATTATGTTTTATTCATTTCCCATAACATGAAAGGCTAGCCATTGCATCATCTATGTCATTAAATGTTTTCTGGCGATGCCAAGCTAATCTTAAAGGGGCCACAAGGATTTATTTTAGGTGCATGTATTTAAAAGTCCTGTCATTCTTTTCTAAATGTGGTAAGTACAAGTTATTTGCTCATGATTTTTTATGAAGTCTTCCTAGGAAGAGAACAACAGTATTTTGGAAACCTTTTTATTGTTCACACCTGTGAACAGTTTGGTCTGAGAATGCCTCTCTTCTTTCTTTTAATTGACAATTAAGCATTGCTGACTTTAAATAGAAAGCAGTTTTCTACAGCTCACAGGAAATCACATGTGGTCTACAGCAGCAGTTCCCAACCTTTCTGGCTTGGCAGACTGGGGGGGATGGGGCGGGACAGGAGAGGGGTCTATGTGAGTGGCAGGTGCATGAGCATGTGCATCTTCATTTGTGCAATACCCGCCTCTCACACCAATGGAGTTTCGCATGCGAGTGCCCACTGTTCACACAAGTGGAGCTGTGCATGCGTACACGTGCTTGCCCACCACTTGTGTGGCCCAGTTTCCAATCGATCACAGCCTGATGGTGGGGGCATGGCCCAGGGTGTCCTGATCTACAGGCACAGTCATTAGAAGGACAATATAGCTACACAAGTCATCTGTCCTCTAGAAAGATTCCATTGGGTTCAACAGCTGCACTCTACAGTAAATATGGGAAGTCTGCAGTCCTCTATATCAGTGGTCCCAAAACGTTTTGAAACCGGAGGCAGGTTTCATGGAAAGCAATTTTTCCATGGACCTGGTAGATGGGTGGGATGGTTTCATGCACTACCTAGATCCCACATGTGCAGATGAAGCTTCGCTCACTTGCACGGCTGGGTTCCTAACAGGCCACTGGCCAGTACTGGTCCACAGCCTGGAGATTGGGGATTCCTGCTCTATGTGTTATGAAGTTGTCTCTTCTGGGGTTGATAGAGATTAGAGCCCAATAATCTCTGGACGATCCCAAACTCTACAACTCTATAGTAAAGTATGTGAATTTCAGGATTACCTTGACCATTGGGAATTGGATGATCCAGTCCAGTGCAGTGGTTGGATCATTAATAAATCTCCATAAAACATATGCAAATAAACTATTTTCTGTTATATTCTTCATCCCAAAAGGATGTTTCTGGAAATAATAATAATAAGGAAAAAAAGTCATTTCTTGTTTTGCAAAATAACGGCAGATACTATCACTTGCTCCAAGAAGGAATGTATTTTGTCCACTTCCCACCATCTGTTGCAAAATGCTCAGCACTCAACATAAATCTCTCTGCTTAGCAAGAGACTTTTAGCCAATGATTTACAGTCATGCTTGTATTTTTCTCTTCAACTGCAGTCTAGAAAAAAAAAGAATGTATCATGTCTGTAACTGCAGTGTATTGCTCTTGTAAAAGTGATGCAAGTACCTCAAGAACTTTTTCTGGATCTCTTCCTGCTGCCATGGAAACTCCAGAATATGACAGAACTATTATTCCCAAGTTTTGAAAGGCTGCTTAGTCCATGCACATCAATTTACATAAGAAAAATGGTAGGGCTCCAAAGTGGCAGGCCAATCTATAGCATTTACTCAAGAGCCATACAGTATGTACATGTATAATTATATGTTATCCATTAACCATTGGGGTTTTTTGGCATGTGTGTGTGTGTGTGTGTTTAATACACATTATTTCCAAATATTATTTACATTGATTAAGTATTTCAGTACGTGTACACGATGAATGATTGATGAGTGATTTTATTTTGAAAAAAAAAACCCCTCTAAGTGGCTATATTTTTAATTCACTCAGTTCATGCCTCTTGAAATGCTGGCTGTGGATTCTGTTTGCCTTTGAATGTTACTACCTGCTCTTCTTCTGCAGGCCATACAGTCTATTGCAGTGTCACAGAAAGTTTCCATCAGCAGCTCCTTTGGGGTTCAAAATTATTGTCCTGCGTGATCACTACCTCTCCTCTGAAAGCTAGAAGGGAACTTCAAAGCAGGCAAAACCCACAAGTACTTACGTAGAAAGTGAGAGGCTGGAAGGGGATTTGCATCAGGAGAACTGCAACCCTGCCAAGACAAACCAGTCAGTCCAAACCAGTTTCGAAGAACAAAGACATCATCCCACTCTGGCACTCCCACTCTTTGCTTATTTGTAATAGGCAAACTCAGAAGAAGTAGTTTGACATCAGTAACATCAGGTAAGTGCCACTTTAAAGTTAGTCAGTCTGTAGGCTCGACCCAGCTTTCAACCCCTTTTTATCACCCCATGAATCCCCAGCTGTCACAGGGCTGGAAATATCTATGGCTAGTTGTTAAGACAAGACAATTACACCATTCTAAACAGAAGGTAACAATTGAAAGGGCCCAAGCTTTTCATTTCAACAAAATGGAAATCAAACTGCAGGTACATAAACATCCATTCATCATCCCACCCACTCCTTAGAAAAACAATAAATCTGAGCTCTGCAATTGTGGGAGCATTTTTCCACCACTTTTGTCTTTATATCATCACCACCCCCAAATCCATATATGCCAGGTAAATCCAGTCTGACTTGCAATTGGAACGAACGGGAATGGATTATGTTGTACTTTATGAACAACTCCTTTAGTAGCCAATTTGTATTTATCAGCTGTAGCAAAACTCTGATTTTTAGATGTGGCTGAAAAGCAGAGAATGGTGGTTATGTTTGCTGTTTAGTAGCGAAGAGTCCTGTAATAGCAGTAGCAATAGCACTTAGACTTACATACCCCTTCATAGTGATTTACAGCCTTCTCTAAGCGGTTTACAGAGTCAGCCTATTGCCCGCAACGATCTGGCTCCTCGTTTTACCCACCTTGGAAGGATGGAAGCCAGAGTCAACCGTGAGCCTCTCAGTATCAAAATATCGAACTGCAGGCAGCCAGCAGTCAACAGAAGTAGCCTGCAGTACTGCATTCTAACCACTGCCCCACCACAGCTCAATGCAATGCAATCGGTTTGCTCTAAAATTCATGGTCCTTGCTCACGTCCTCAATGTCTCTAGCTATGTGACATTGAGAATCATTCTGCTTTTCAGATGAATAACATTAGGCTTATTCCATTAGATCCAACTCTAATGTAGTATCGCAATATAAGAAAATAATGGATTAGTGTGGATTTGAATTTTACAGGGGTTCAAAGTCTTCATTTTAAAAATCTTAATGGCACATAAGTGCAGCCTTGGAGAGGATATTCAAATAATTATTACACTATATTTAGAAAATACACTCATAACTTATAGGTTTCTTTTTTAATCATAACCCCCATAATTTTCTGACCTTGCCATATACAGGTCAGAAACTTAAAATCATTCATTTAGTGACTGTTCAAAGTTACAGTGACACTGAAAAAAGTGACCTATGACTGTTTTTCACATTTATGACCGTTGCAAAAGCTCCATAATCACATGATCAAAATTCAGACGCTTGGCAATTGGTTCATATTTATGACGATTGCAGTGTCCAGGGGTCATGTGATCAGTTATTGCAACCTTCTGGCAAGCAAAGTCAATGGGGAAGCCAGATTCACTTTATAATTGTGTTACTAACTTAACAACTGCAGTGACCTGCTTAACAACTGTGGCAAGAAAGGTTGTAAACTGGGGCAAACTCATTTAACTATTATTGTGCTTAGCAGCAGAAATTTTGAACTCAGTTGTGATCATAAGTCAAGGATTACCTGGATCTCTATTCAATACTTCCAAGAACCAAAATAAACAAAGTTGGAGATAGTAGACATACTGTCTACTAACTTTATCTATTTAATAAAGTTTGTATGTTCTAGAACTTTAAACAACTAAACAACAACAAAATTCAAATCATCAGAGGGCCTTCTCTGCATCTAAGAATATTAATGTAGTTTGAAATTTATAAATTAAGATCATTTATGAATGTCCTGATGTTAATTTTAGAAGATCCACTAGAGGGAGTAAAAGCACTAATGGGAAAATCAAAGGCATTTTGAATATAAGCAGATTTAAGATTAATAAACAGATGACAAAAATATTAACAAAAACATGATGGAGAAAACGTGTTTTAAGAGTGAGAAAAAAAGTAAAACGTTTGAGTGTTACTGTGACAAATGAATCGTATGCTATTTCAAAATAATTATGTTAAAACAAGGACTGAAATTAAGAATGACAGATTAAAATGGGAGAAATTAAAACTGTCACTTTTGGAGAGAATATGTGTAATAAAATGATTTTTTTTTGCCCAAAATGATATTTTTGCTTCAGACAATGTACGTGTTTTGACATCAGATGTACCATTTAAACAATGGCAAAAATATATATTTAGAAGAAAATTACTAGGATTAAATATAACTTGTTTAATTAGAGAAAAGACATATTTTTATTGGTGACTGGAAGCCTCTTCTAGATTTTTTGTAGAAAAGTGAAAAGAATGAAATTGCAATTTATGGTTTTCATGATTAGACAGGGTAGATTATAGAAAGAAGAGCACTATGATGTAACTTTAGAGAAAGAGAGATGTATGTATGTATGTATGTACAGTGCTGTATTTTCTCTTTATATAAAAATTCCCTTGTTGTGCTTATGTGTGGTATATGTCTTCCTAAATCTTGGATCCTCCTTCTGTGCAGTATCTCAGCTGTTCCTTGGACTGCACTCTTCTGGACAGCGAGCTCTGATGTTGGTCCTGGAATCTGTTGGAGCCACTTGTCCAGTTTAGGAATCACAGCCCTAAGCAGTTCTATAATCACTGGGACAACTTTGGTCTTTATATATAGAATATGAGAAACTGAAGTAGTACCAGGAGTAACCGGAGACAATGTGGAACATGAAGGTAAAGGGGTGTGTGTGTGTGTGTTTGTGTGTGTAATGTATATGTATATTTTTCCAATATTTTTCTTTTCTTACACTTATTGCTTTTTCTTTTATTTCTTTCCTTTTTCCCCCTTCCTTTCTTTCCCTTAGTTTGTGTTACCTTTTGTCTTCTTGTTTAAAAGTTAACATAAAAAGTGTATTTGTGTGTGTATGCATGTATATAGTACATGCAATAACTGGCTGAATGTGGCTGCAGCATCACGGGATAAAGTATCCCTGTTAGACTTTAGGTCTGGTTTTCAAATTACCTTTACACACAGCATTATACTAAAGTTAGTATGAGGAAGAACATCTTTTATGAGCAGTACTGTGTATTTTCCCAAATGACATGAATGTTGATGTGGGCACGAGAGAGAGTTCTTTCACACATTAGCTGATACCATAATTTATTGAGTAATTCTACTGTCTGCTAGATTACCAAGACACTAAGCGCCGCCCCCCCCCCCCCCCGGGGAGAGAAACACACACACACAGAAACACACACACACAGAAGCACACATAGGCACAACTTGGCTCCCCAAGGAACAACAAGACATTTGTTTTAATGCCACTAGTGCGAAAGTGTCCTTGGTGACATTGTGAGTCATGTGATACAAAATTAAATAATGACTTGAGATGTCAAAATTCAAATCTAACTCAGTTATGAAGATCACTAGCCAATTTACCTCACACAATAGTTACAAGGGTAACATAGGATAAGTCTTTCTGTGTGATGTTACCAAAAGTAAGTGCACTTTGGGGTATCTACTCTGTTCTCTTTCTTTGGTTTGCCTTTCCCACCCCCAAATTATTTCCACAGCAGTGATTTATAGCATCTTCAAGCATCTCCAGACACCAATATGCTGATATAACAGCAATGAAGAGATGTTTTCAATTTCCAGAGCAATATAGGATGATACTATAAATCATGATTATGCAAATAGCTGAACTCCTCCTTCAGTCCTCTGATTGTTTTGTTTTTTGTTCTGATAAAGTTTGCAGTTATTGCTGTTCTGCTTCTTCCTTTGCCAGCTTTTTCCTCCCTCAAAAGATTAATGTTCTTTCTCCTTTGCTGCCCTTAATATTTCAAACTACCTTCTGGAGCCTTTGTGCTTATCTTAATTCATTTATACGGTTTTTAGGGGGGGTCATAGGAGAATCTACAAAAAGACACATGATGGACCAATTGGTTGATCAGATGAAATAAAGAAACAAGGATTGGAGAATATGCTGTGATGAAAACTTCTGGAAGAGCATATTCAAGAAGTCCAAATAAGTACCAATAACAATCAATCTCCTACTTTATTAATTCTTAATCTAGGAAGATGGAGTTACATCCCTGTTTAATCCTACTTCTATTCCACTTTCCTTCTCCTATTGTTTATTATTAGGTTTTAAATCCTAATCTTATATGAGACAAAACAAAAAAATAACTAGAGATACAGTAGATGTACAGTTGATACAAATTCAGTTGTTGCTTTCTACAACATATCTTCCTGCCTTCAGGTTCTTAATTCCTGTAGGATTGGTGATAGCAATAGCTCTTAGACTTATATATCACTTCACAGTGGTTTATAGCCATCTCTAAGCAGATTATAGAGTCAGCATATTGCTCCCAACAATCTGGGTCCTCATTTTACCAACCTTGGAAGGATGAAAGGCTGAGTCAACTTTGAGTCAGTGAGGAACAAACCCCTGGCAGCCTGCAATACTGCATTCTAACCACTATGCCACTACGGCTCCTGATACCTATGGAAACCATTGAGAACTTTTCCTAAGAAGTTGTGGAATTCCTGTCATTATACCCCTCCTTAAGGAAAAGTTTACGTACGATCCAGTTGTGACTGCTAGAGTTCTAATCTGATCAGCAGAGTATTCAGCAGGTTTTTCTAGACCGTCATTTCTTCCACCAGCAAGCAAAAGGAAACACGATTTCTTCATCTGGGCATTCTTATATACTTTGGGTGTAGTGATGGTCACCATATGCCACCAGATTGTTTTATCCACTTCAGAATCTGAGGATGAAAAGACAGATATAGTAAAGATAAGACTCCCAAGCCTCACACTAATGCAACCAGACACAAACTCTAACAACCATACATTATCACATCACAAAGTACTTGCTAGGAATCGCTGGGGCCACCCACCTCTGTGGGGCAAGAGAGCCTGTTAAGTTGGTCTGCCCCAGAAAACTGGTGGATCCTGTTGAGATCCAGAGAGAGCGTGGGACTAGACCTATCAGGCAGTTTAGCCAAAGTCATTGGCTATAGCAGTGGTGGCTAACCTTTTCCAGCTCCCGTGAAGGCAAGGCGCGCTGCCCCCCCATGCCCCCTGTGCATGCATGTGTGATCCCCAGCATGCCCCATGCATCTCTGCACATGCATGCATGTCTCCTGCGCACCCCCGTGCTTACATGCCAGATACCCAACTATCAGCTGTCGGGCAGTGGCGCTTGTGTGCATGTGCGCATGTGCAATGGTGCTTTTCCAGGCAACTTCTCTTCCAGGCACTCTTTCAGGCAACCTCCACTTCCAGCATGCATGCCATAGGTTCACCATCATGGGGCTATAGCCTCTAATACAGGGGTCTCCAGCCTTAGCAACTTTAAGACTTGTGGACTTCCACTCCCAGAATTCCTCAGCCAGCAAAGCTAAGTTGCTAAGGCTGGAGACCCCTGCTCTAATAGGCATGTGACAAAGGTCTTGGACCAGATTGCTCCTATGTGGCCTCTCCCGGTATGCCAATTACTGGATGCTCCTTGGATTTAAAGGAGATGAAATGCCAGTAGCGAAACTTGCTTTTGGTCTAAGGCCTGGGGTTAATGTACTGAATTATTATGGGAGGGGGGCTGTTTTGTTCAATTTGTGTTTCTTTTAAGGTTATTTTAGTCCAAGCTTTATCTGTTTTTATGATTTTGTACAGTGCCCAGAGTAAACAATAGCCTACAACAATCTTGTGTGTTCCACATAAGGCAAATATGCAGATTTGCCCTACTGAATCCAGGAACTATTTCTGCTGCTCTCTACTGGTTTCATTTTACTATTATGCTATCACCTTGCATTCGTATGTGGATTTCATTTATTTTAGTTGATTATCCCCCTGAAAACTATCAGCTGTAGAGTGATTAATGTGGTACATTTTTAAAAATGAAGTCAAATAAATCTGAGTGAAGAAAGAGAGAGCTACTCCAGATCCTTCTTTCAGGATTCCACCAGACAACTGCACTAATATATATTCCTCCCGTGCTTGGATAGGAAGAAAGATGTGCCCAGGGCATTATGCCATGCCCCTACCAGACAGTTACAGATAGACCTCAATTTACAACCATTTGTCTAGTGACTATATAAAGATACAAGGGCATTGAAAAAAGTGATTTATGACCATTTTTCCCAGTTGCGACTGTTGCACCATCCTCAGGGTCATGTGATCAAAATTTGGATGGTTGGCAACTGGTTCATATTTATGACAGTTGCAGTGTCCTGGGTTCATGTGATCATCTTTTGCAACCTTCTGACAAGCAAAGTCAATGGAGGAGCCAGATTAACTTAACACCTATGTTATTAACTTAACAACTACAACCATGCATTTAAACAAGTATGGCAAGAAAGATCATAAACTGTAAAACTCAATAACTGTTTCACTTAGCAACCAAAATTTTGGGCTCAGTTGTGATCGTAAGTCAAGGATTGCCCCTACTCAACTACACTGCTCAAAAAACTAAAGGGAACATAAAAATAAGACATCCTAGATCTGAATGAATGAAATATTCTTATTAAATACTTTGTTCATTACATAGTTGAATGTGCTGACAACAAAATCACACAAAAATTATCAATGGAAATCACATTTAGCAGCCCATGGAGGTTTGGATTTGGAGTTACACTCAAAATTAAAGTGGAAAAAAACACTACAGGCTGATCCAACTTTGATGTAATGTCCTTAAAACAAGTCAAAATGAGGCTCAGTAGTGTGCGTGGCCTCCACGTGCCTGTATGACCTCCCTACAATGCCTGGGAATGCTCCTGATGAAGTGGCGGATGGTCCCCTGAAGGATCTCCCCCTACACCTGAACTAAAGCATCCCCCAACTCCTGGACAGTCTGTGGTGCAACGTGGCATTGGTGAATGGAGCGAGACATGTTGTCCCAGATGTTCCCAATTGGATTCAGGTCTGGGGAACGGGCGGGCCAGTCCATAGCATCAATGCCTTTCATCTTGCAGGACCTGCTGACACACTCCAGCCACATGAGGTCTAGCATTGTCTTGCATTAGGAGGAACCCAGGGCCAACTGCAATAGCATATGGTCTCACAAGGGGTCTGAGGATCTCGTCTTGGTACCTAATGGCAGTCAGGCTACCTCTGGCGAGCACATGGAGGGCTGTGCGGCCCACTAAAGAAATGCCACCCCACACCATTACTGACCCACTGCAAAACAGGCCATTCTGGAGGATGTTGCAGGCAACAGAACATTCTCCACGGTGTCTCCAGACCCTGTCACGTCTGTCACATGTGCTCAGTGCGAACCTGCTTTCATCTGTGAAGAGCACAGGGCGCCAGTGGCGAATTTGCCAATCTTGGTGTTCTCTGGCAAATGCCAAACGTCCTACACGGTGTTGGGCCGTAAGCACAACCCTCACCTGTGGACATCGGGCCCTCATGCCACCCTCATGGAGTCTGTTTCTGACCGTTTGAGCAGCCACATGCACATTTGTGGCCCGCTGGAGGTCATTTTGCAGGGCCCTGGCAGTGCTCCTCCTCTCCCTCCTTGCACAAAGGCGGAGGTAGCGGTCCTGATGCTGGGTTGTTGCCCTCCATGGGGCATGGACATTCCCTCCATGTCTCCTGATGTACTGGCCTGTCTCCTGATAGTGCCTCCATGTTCTGGACACTACGCTGACAGACACAGCAAACCTTCTTGCCACAGCTCGCATTGACGTGCATCCTGGATGAGCTGCACTACCTGAGCCACTTGTGTGGGTTGTAGACTCTGTCTCATGCTACCACTAGAGTGAAAGCACCGCCAGCATTCAAAAGTGACCAAACCATCAACCAGAAAGCATAGGAACTGAGAAGCGGTCTGTGGTCACCACCTGCAGAACAACCCCTTTATTGGGGATGTCTTGCTAACTGCCTATGCTTTCCACCTGTTGTGTATTCCATTTGCACAACAGCATGTGAAATGGATTGTCAATCAGTATTGCTACCTAAGTGGACAGTTTGATTTCACAGAAGTGTGATTGACTTGGAGTTACATTGTGTTGTTTAAGTGTTCCCTTTATTTTTTTGAGCAGTGTATATGACAGAGGTCTGCTATGAGAAGGAAGAGAAGAATCTGAGGCTAAGAAAACTGAGGGTGACGAGGGCTCAACATTTGCAAGATATAGGAAACAGAACTTAAGGATGAATAGATGAGGTAATTAGATCACAGAGTGAGGAGGATGGCTTCTGGGAAGACCAATGGGAGCTTGAGAGGTAATCTGGATAAGGTAATGAATGGAAGGAACTGATAATTTATAAAAAATATAAAAGTGTGAGGTTGTGGGGGGACTCAGTGTTAGCAGGCTTAATTCAAATGGTGGAAAAAATGGCCAGGAAAAAGATAAGTAATTGGATGACTTAGGTAATCAAAGGAGATACAAAAGGAAACACAGATTTACAATAGCAATAACAGACTTGTATAAATACTGCTTCACAGTGCTTTGCAGCCCTCTGTAAGTGGTTTACAGAGTCAGCATATTCTCCCCAACAACAATCTGGGTCCTCATTTTACCCACCTTGGAAGGATGGAAGGCTGAGTCAAGTTGAGCCATGAGGGAGAAAGTTTACTCCAGAATAAGAGGGGAAAGGGGAAAAATTTAAAGGGAGAGAGTGGTTACTCATGAGGCAACTTAAGAAAACTAAAGGGAAATAGGGAACAAATTGTCCCATTTAGGGAAGCAACTGACCAAAAGGTTGCTTGTGAGGAAAAAATAATAGGTGAATATGCCAGGTTTTTCTCTCCACCCTGCCCTGTGCTGATATGCCTGATTGCAGCTAAGCTCAGGGAAGGTGAATCAACCCATTAAGAGATGCATCCCATGTATCTGTGGAAAGAGAAAGAGTGAGAGGTGTCCAGTTTGTGATGGCTGGTACAGAGAATCAAGACTGACAAAGTCTATGAATAGCTCAACCTGCATTTGGATCAGCAAGGATTCTAGCTGGCTCAAGAGGGTGCAAGCCATGAGAAATGAGACTGGTTTGCAAGGCCGCCATGGCTGAACAACCTAACTGAGGGAAAGGCTGGAAGTGCTTGAAAGAACATATGGTCTCTATCTGAGAAAGCATTGCCCTTCAAGGAAGCAGTTCGCATGGGTGAGAGAGACACTGAGCAAATGCCAGATAACCACATTCTTGTTCATGTAGCTTTGTAGTTACAGTTGCATAAAATTATCCTTATAGTTGTGTAAATCTGGTTGTAAATCTGTAGAGTTATACTTCACCCGGGTAGCGACATAAAAAGTTAAAAACAGGAAGTAAAATCTTTTCTATCTTACTGAATAGGAGGCAGGAGCAAAATGCCCCCTAAAACCCCTTTCTGCTAGAAAGGCTTGAAGTGTTGCTTTTGAGTTGACAATTAACATAACATCCCCAAGATATGGGATGACTGGCAGGAGAGATGGTGGGAAAACGTACCCTAATTAAATAACCTCTTTGCTGAATTTGTTGGCCACGCACAAATTATTTATTCTGAAAAGTGTTTCACTAGGTCAATTTTAATACTATTTATACAATTTCATCTATAAATAAAATTTCACTGTATTTCTTCAAAAAGCACAATAACTGAGTTATGCTTTGTTCCAATCACTGGAAACAAATCAAAGGAATATGAGTCTTTTAATGATCAGCACAGGAGCCCCATGTTACCATAACTTTTGGAAGGCTGGTGGGTGGTTCCAGCTGAATGTTTCCTGCCGCTTCCAATGACAATAGCATTGTGCAGCTACTCTACCTTTCACTTCTACACAGATTTAGGTAAGTAAAGCAAGGATCTATATTCAATCTACAGGTGGAATATAGTAGAAAAGAGGATTTGGAGGGGAGGGAACATCCATTTCCCATCATGCTTTATGAAGAAGGACATTTTTACCAACTTATCAAAACATCTCCTGCCTTTTTAATAATTTCTTCCCTGAGAAGGGTTAAGTTTCCTCTCCACCAAGAGTAACAAGCAAACAAGTCCCAAGTCACCACTTCCAAAGGGCTACTTACCATCCAACCACTTCAGTGAGGTCATATTGATGGTATAGACAGTGGAGTCATGGTGCTCCTCTTTAGAAACAAGGGTATAACCGTAATGAGGGTCAGGAAGGTTCACATAATCCTCCAAAGCCTTCTGGTCCATTGGGTAAACAGGGGGCGCATGGATGAAAAAGAAGAGGTGGAACAGAAGGTTCATGCCTCAGTAGACCGTTGGAGCTGTGTGTGGTTCCTCCTCCTTTCTTAGAAGGATCCAGGATTTCCTTTTCAGGCAAATGGGTGGGAGAGATCTACTTGTCTTATTCCTCACCTCAAAACTACCATGGAGTGATTTTCAAAAGGAGTGTCAGATCAAATATTCCACTTCTGCTTATATGTGCAGCTCCAGAGGGCTGAACCTGAGGTACATTATACAAGAGAACCCAACGTCCTGGGGGACGAGTCTAATTGCAAGCATAATTAGGAGCTTTCCTTCTCTTGTTGGAGAGTAAGAAACAGGACCAACGTTTGGAGAAGCCAAGAAAAAAGTCACAAACATACATATGACCACTCTTTTCATGATATTCAGCCAGCTGTAAAAGGGAAGTGAAGGATGTTATTCTCAAAGCTGTGAATATAGACTTAAAATGAGATTTATTGCATAGTCTGGAATGTGGTACAAATTGTGAAATTAATGAAAAGAAGGCTCAAAATGGAAAGTTAAAAAAAGAGCACAGAAATACATGCAGATATCCATAGGGATTAAATCTCTCTAGGTACAAAAAGAAAAATAATGGTGTCCATTTTTATATGTGTATGTCTTAGGTTCTGAATCTTTGGGGACCAGAAGGCAAATATGGAATTTTGAGAATACGTTGGGACCATGCAAACAACAAAAAAAGCTGATCAGGGATATGCTCATTCACAGATTCCTTGTCATGAGGGACATTCCAGTAACAAAGGAACTACTTAGTAGAATGCTACTGTTGAAGTCCTTGTTTCTCACATGTTTCCTAAATCCCTGTTTCCTTTAATCCATTTCTCAGCAGATAAGCATACTTCCAAAGCATGGCCTGTAGCTCTTCATGTTCACTATCTAAGAAAGCTTATGTGGGCCCATTTGGAGACCAGAGGCACTCCTGGCAATAAGGATGCTTTTTGTGATGATATGTGAAAATGATCTTGAGACAGGAGGAAAAGCTACTAGGCCCATGATGGCGAACCTATGGCACGCATGCCAGAAGTGGCATGCAGAGCACTCTCTCTGGGCATGCCAGCTGTCACCTGTTGCTCTTCTGCGTTCCGGCGCGTGCATGTGCGCCAGCCAGCTGGTCTTCCGGTTTCTGGCATGCATGCACACACGAAGACCAGCTGGCCAGCGTGCACGTGCGTGCTGGAAACCGAATGCTCAGCTTCCCGGTGTGTGCCTGTGCATTGAGGATCTGCTCTTCCAGGTTGCAGAGCTCCCGCATTCATGTGTGCGCACTCCCATTTTGGCAGTCGGTGCCCAAAAGGTTCGCCAACACTGTACCAGGCAGTCATCATGCCAAAGATATCTCAGCCAACAGAAGGAAAACGAGCATGGGAAATGTCTCAAAAGAGATCTTTCCTTGTTTTCTGAACATAAAAATGAAGAAGAAAAGTGCTTTTAGATTTGCAAGTCACATTAACTTTACAATAAGGGTAATCTTAGTACTCATGGTATAATGCCTCTTGTCTGGATACCCTGAAGGGCTGAGATTTATGAAAGATTGATGTTATGGTTTGCCACATGCTGGCCTCTGAAAAATTTAAACAATCCTCCAGGGCAGGGAAACAAAAAAGGAAGTGCTTGTAGGCACATCAACAAGAACTCTGGATCATAAATATTTTTCATGCCATTTATGCCATGCCAAAATTAGCTTCTGTCTAGGGCTTGAAGGAACCCAGGCGGAGAGAATAACCTAAGGGGGTGGAGAGTAAACTAAAATGTTAATATTACGTTCTTTGCATCGTTAGACAATACGTTCTGTACAGGATTTCTGAAGTCAAAGTACAGAACAACATGCAAACATTGCTTTGATTGGGAGAATATTTATTATTTATCTTGCCTAAAAGACATAGAAGATGGACAAGTTTCAGACCCGTGGGAGAACCAATAGCTGTTGCAACTCTGTTAATGAGATTTACAAAAATAATTTTAGATCAAATTATTTTTAATTGCCAAATTAAAAATGTCCTGCGCAGAATGATAAACAAAGAAAAGATAACTACTGATGACTGTACTGTACAACATGGCACCATTCTAGTAAAAAGGAATATGATTGGAAAATGGAGTAAATATATATACAGTATATATAGTCCATTGAGGGTAATGGAAGTTGAGTTAATTTCCAGACAATTCTACCTGGATGACTGAGAATCTTCATTGCAGACATCCATTGAGGATACTGTAAGTCTACCTTGCTTTATCTGCACCCAACATGACTGCATGATCTCTGCATATACATCCTATTTCAGGCACCCTGATCTTAACTTCCTTCAGCCTTAGACCTGAGGCGCTTCTCTGAATCTGTCCAGCTGGGAAGTCAGTTGAGTGATGTATTTCAGCAGTAGCAACCGTTACCACATTGCAGGAGTACAGTGGCTTCAAAAACAGCACCAAAAGAATTTCAGAAAGAATGATAAAGCATGTAAAGAACAAAGAAGAAGAAAAGTAATCTCTTGTATTGGAGAGGGGGAAGCATAAAAACATTTGTAGTTTAGTATTCTCTTATCCCATAGGATTCATCTGGTGAGCCATCTCAAGTCCATTTCCACTCAATGCGACTTAGAAATATTGTCACTACTTTCCTGCATGGACTGTATTTTAATAGTCAGACTGGGCTTAAATGTTGCTGTGAGCAACTCATTATAGTTTTTTGGTTCAATCAGTCACAATTGGCTGGATCCATATATTATTCTAAGTCACAAACCAGAAGATATTATACACCCTCACTTTTTCCAGCCTCTCAAGGTCTCAGGGAGCATTATTGCTAAACTAATGAAATCCAGGATTACCATATTTATGTCCTTTCCGTGAATGCAGCAAATATGGAGACTTCAAAGGGCAAAACAAGTGCCTTGAGGCTGCCACTTAATTGGAAATCTCGATGTTTATCTTCGACATTTCTAATACAACTTTGTTTCCTCTGCAGTCAAAGAGGATGGTGAATATTCCAAAAATGATAGTTTGCTTAAAGGTTAAAGTTGGACATGTTTCTATAACGCTCTGGTACTTATGGACTTCATGATGACACCAGGACTAAAGTTGATGATTTATGGATTTGCAGAAGGTATGGGAAAAAGAGATATTTCACCCCCAACCTACAGGGAGCGAAGACTTGTGATGAAGATCAGAAATCACTTCTTTAAATATTTTTTCTTTTAAACTTTCTTTTCTTTTCTTTTTTCAAACTGTTTATTCTTTCTTTCTATTACTCCTTTTCATTGGAAGTCTCAGCAGATGGCAGTATATGTCTGTCCTCATCTAGGCTTAGAAATTAAGCATTGTGAGGTCTAGCTAGATCTTGGACAGAAGACACAAAGGAAATTTCACCGTTGTGGGGTGACTGGGAAGACAAAACCTATCAAAACAACCAAAAGAAGACCAGATAATCATTTTTTTTCTGTTGCCAAAAACAAAAAACCCTACATGGATATGTCCTATAGTCACCAAAAGCTGAGCATTCACCACATATACATCACAGTTCAGAACTGAATATATTACTTCCCCTAACTGCCCAAAGTCTCACTCGAAAAGAGGGATGGGAACGGGGGGGGGGGAGGAATACTGATGCCGCTTCTTGTCATATCTTTGGAGGAGGAGGAGGAGGAAAAGGAAGAGGAAGAGGAGGAAGATATGTTTAGCTTTTATCATAATCTGTAAAATGGAGTTGTTTTCAAGTTACAACTCCTTTGCTTTGTAGACCCTTGCTCCCAATAATGTATTTGAAAAAAACAGATTTTTTTTTGGTTGGTCATGTGAAAAGTTTGATGTATTATTGACTTAGCTAATTTAGTTTTGTGAATTCTTCACTTCTTTTTGAAAAAAAAATCATGAGAAAAATTATGTTAAAGATATTAATATATTGAATTACATTCCAAAAATGAAGACTTTCACTATATTTGAAGAACTTTAATTATATTGAGATGGAGAAATGCCAAGAGAATTATTTTGAGAAATTGGAAAAATATTATCATTCCAGGTATTAGGAATTGGATCCAGGAGATGTGTAATTTATCCATTTTTTTATTTTTTGTTTGAAAAGGTAATCTTTTTGCCACTCCCATGCAATACTATTACAAAATGCTATAATATATTATGGAAAGATTAGGATCAAAAACAATAATATTATTGTTTATTGCTTACATTTTTCAGAAAATGAGAAGTCAGTCTTTTATCATTTGCCAATAAACCAGAAGTTGAAACAAGAACATCGAGGAAACTACAAAATTACAGCCTTATTTTGCTTGCTGGCAAAGCAAAAATTGTCATAGCTAATTTTCTGGCATAAAAGGCTTCACCTTTAGAAGAAGGAACATCTGCTGTATGTCTTTCTATTAATATTCTGCTGTTATTATGTACCTAAAAGGGCCGAGGGGCTGAATTAAAGCCACTCTTTTGGGGACTGTCCGTACTAATTATTTATGGTATTGTTTTCAGAGGCTCAGGAAACTCTCTTTTGAGAGATAAATAATGAGTATCTTTTGCCTGTTGGATAATGTCTATCTTCCTTTTGTCCCATTGTTGCAGTTAATGTAATAATGTTTACGGATGTTTATTAAATGCGCATCAAGCTCCATTTTCATTAGCTGAAGTGAGTTGCCTGGTACTTATTTTGATGTGAATGCAGGGATTGACTAGTAGTGTGCTAAGTACAAATTCAGCTGAAAATTATCCACAGTAAATGTCCAAAGTCTGTTTTTGCAGGGCAATCAATAATCTATGTAACAGAAATCAGCAATCTATTTTCCTGAAGGGAAAAATAAATTTAAAAACCTCCCTCATTTTTTAAAAGAAATCCAATGTAAGGAGACAAATTACATTTAGATGGATTGGAATCTATTGGAATGGCATTATTCAAAATCTCATAAAGGTAGTTCATAATGCAATGTTTTACCAAGAAAATAAATATTTACTTTATA